TCTGAGTTCAGGCCCCTGGGGCCGTGCCCCGTGCTGAGCAGCCGGAAAGTGGATGTCTTTCGGCACGTGCCGGCCCAGCAAGGGCTGGTGCCAGGGCTGCGGCGCCCCGTCGAGCGCTACGTGGGCAGCAGCACCGAGTCCAGCGACTCCGACTCCGACCTCCTGGCCGCTGACTACTGCTCCCTGTATGGCCGGGTGCTGCGGTCACCCATGGCCCGGGTGCGGCTCTCCTCCGGCAGCCTCCAGCTGGATGAAGAGGATGAGGAGGTGTCCTTCGCCACCGGCGCTGCTGAAGAGAGGACTTCCAGGGGAGGCTCCAGGTACTTCACCTAGGTGCCTGACACCGGCCCGATGGAGCAGCGGTGGCTGTCACTGATCTGGGACCGCAGAAGGGTGACAGTCTTGCTTGCGGGGCTGCTTACTGCTTGCAAAACGTTGTGATGGGCTTGTGTTGGGCGAGTGCTCTTAGCTATAGAGGATGCGTTACTGGACAAGAGGGGAGTGTTCAGAAGTACTCAACCCCTGCAGGACGCTTGGAAGCTGGTGCAGCCCTGCCACCACAAGTTGGGAGAGGGGGGGGAGGCTCCTGCTACAGCCAGAGGGGCCAGGGCGCTCTCAAAGCCCTGCAAGGAGCCTGCATCCTGCCCCAGGTGGTGGCTGCTGGCCCTGCTTGGAGCTCAGACACTGGTGGCTTCACTGAGGGGGAGGGAGAAAAAGAAAAGAAACATCTCACAGAGGAGTTTAAAGATCTGTTTTTCACAGCTGCAGGTAAGCACACTGATGGGAAGAGTGTTTGAGGCCCATGTGGAAAGGAGCAGGATGGCCAGGGGAGGCTGCTCTGGGAGCTGTGGACATGGCCCATGCCCCAGCACGTAGCCTGTCTCCTCCATCCTGCTTCTGCTCCCTCCCATGCTGCATGGAGCACAGGGCCCTCAATGACAAGGGTGCAGGTGTGGGGTGGTCCTTGCAATGCTCGGACCCATGGACGAAGTGAACAGCTCTGTCTCCTCTCCAGCCTGTTTACAGCACTGGCCTTCCCCAGGAAGCATCCCCTCAGTGCCTGTAAATCATTTAGCAGCATCCCACAGCAAACTCGGGGAAGTGGGTTAATGAATATCATATAGCTCTGCTTTTCTTAGGCCCTTTAGCTGTCATTATACTGGCAGCAATTCCACAGATGCAGCACCTCAGTGCCCTTCTTAAATATGGGGGACCGAGGTATGCTCCCCCCAGTCAGGCAGTCAAGCAGCATGGGGAAAAAGATCTCAGAAGGAGGTAAGAAAGAAATGAGCAGCTGGTGCTTACCCTTGGCATTAGGAAACCTGTAACCGTGGTGCTTCAAAACTTTCCTGTTTGCTACGGGATGCAATGTTACTTTTACCAGGGCTGTTTCTAGGTGGAAAGACGAAGCAAGAGCTGGAACAGCTCATCATCCATGGGGCAGCAGGAGAGGGAGTCCTGATTTATCCATTGCTCCCTCAAAGGGAAAAGGTATGAAGATAGTTCCTGGAAATATTTTTATTACAAAGACTTATTATTACCCTAAACCTACATGAAACCTACTCAGAGAACCGGGGAACGATGCCACCTGTGTAAGATTTCAGGGGAGGATCTTATTACTTTTAAGAACAATGCTTAAGTCTCTGCTGGAAGTGACCACAAGGAGAGGGACAGCCCAGTAAATCCACTTGAGAAACCACTGTGACCTGCTAGAATGGATTTCAGAAACAAGGAAGCTGGGCCAAAGATGGAAAATGGGTGAAAATGTAAAAAGAACTGGGCTTATGGGTACTGCTAACTGCACATTGGGGTTTTTTTGTTTTAGAAGCTGAAGAATAAAAATCAGTTATTCACACCTGAGTTTTGGGTTTCTCCTTCTACCCTGTCAAATCTGCACCCCCAGCCCTGCAGACACCCCCAGCTCACTGTCCCCTGCCCTCCCAGGCAGCCCTCATTGCTCCATGGAGCTGCCAGGCTGGCTTCCCTCTCCTGGAGCTGCTTGCGGGCTCCCTCTGTGCCTTCACTGTCTCAGTAACTGGGGAGACTCGCTGAGATCCCTCAATGCTGCTGTAAACAACTGCATTCTTGGTTGATTGCCCAAAGAACTGTGTTAGATCAACAAGAGGGCACACTGTAAGGTTTGCTTTTGCTCCTGGCTTACCCTGTGCTGAAGAAGCCGTGAACTCCAGACCCCACACGCTGCTCTGGCACATGTTCTATTAAAAAAAGGGATAAACTTTCTGGTTATAGAGAGCTGTTTCTTCCCTTTCCCAAAGCTCCACACCTTGGAAAGAGCAAGAACCACCACTCAATACAGCATATATGCAAGATGTGGTAGAGGGAAAAAAAAAGCAGCAGTGTTTCATATACAGACTGTACACACAGCCCATGTCCCCTAAGGTATAACCCTTTTAAGCACTCAAACCTACAGACACTGTTATCTCCTGCAAACACACAGAAACACAGATAAAGGCTGGCCCAGGTCAGCTTTACCTTGAGGATGTCCCAGAACAGACACACAGGCCCACGATGAGGGATCAATGCATAACCACACTGCCCAAATCTCCTGGAGCTGCCAGCTCCGGCACTGAGGACCATGCTGGGAAAACAGTACTGAGAGGGAGAAACAAGGACTTGGGAACTATTTTTGGATTTTTCCATTGACTAGAGAGCACTGCAGCACAGTGTGTGCACTGTGCCTTAGCACATCCTACATGATGGTCAACAATAGCAGAGGAACAAAGCAACTCACGAGCAAGTGACAGAAACTAACATCTTCAAGCTAAATTCATTGTGTAAATGACCTTTCTTGGGACTGTCAAAAATAAAGGCAGAATCCCAACAAGCAGTGGCTCACATATCAAGGAACAATTGAAATAATCCTTGAATAAGTCCTTCCCCACGGTCCCTACTCAACCCTGTTCACCCAAAAGAGGTAAGAACATTTAAGTGATTGTGTTTCACTCGTGAAGAAAACAATGATAAAGAGAGGACATGGAATGAGCTGGTCTGCTGATAGCGAAAGACAGAGAGCAGTACCTGGAAAGTCTAAACTTTTATAGCCCTTAGGCAAACAAGGATTATTAAAGGGTGAGGAGGCACAGCAGCATTACCATGTCAAAACATGAAGCTACTCAGTGCATTCAGACTGAAGTAACTGGGGTTCGTACAAAATCCATCACTTACAGATGAAGCTAATGTTGAAGTTCAGCTGCATGATGTTCAGCAATGTTTTAGGCCCAGGTGTGTATGTCAGGATATAAAAAGAAGCAAAATATACACAGCATACAAGGAACTTCAGTATGGAGAAGCACTAAGACAGGTTTCAGTGTATTTACCTCATTTCTGTATTGTTACTTCATTTATTGGAAAAATGCGAAATAAGGCAAGCCAACATACATACCACTAAAACTTTGCAAAGAGGAAAATAATTTTATTCCAGTGTTAAGTCATAAAACAGTGTGATAAAAATCAGACCTTTAACAATTGCTAAACTGTGCAAACACATTAAGAACCTACGTACTTTCCTATTCAGCTACAGACATTCAACTGAACACAAGAACAGGTGTTTACGATACTACATGCTTACTGTAGGGAAGTGTTCGAGAGGAGTCAGAGATCAAGGGTTTTAAGAATGGTTACACTCACAAAGGACTCATCTACCCAAGAACAAATACATTTTTCTATTCTGAGACTCAGACTACTTTGATAAGACTACTTCAATATCAATTCTTCTCAACCCACAGTGGGAAGCCTAGCAAACCAATCAAGCAAGATGGTTCCTGCATGAATATTTTGATATATCTTTCCATTAGCTATCTGCCAGCAACAGAATACTCCCGATTAAGTTACACAGTTCATCAATAACTAACACATGGTGGGGAAAAGAACTGTTCTCCGGAAACCAGTAATACAGACATCCATTCTCAAGAGTTAGATTATAGCCTTATGACGCACAGAGACGTTAGGCACAGAAATCGCATATGTAGTACAATCAAAAAACCTTCTTGAATGGACTTGAAGAGAATGAGGCTGTATTACACACATAGGGATGAGCTTTTCCCCACACTGTCCTACGAGGTAGGTATACATCCCACCCATTTCACAGGAAAAGAAGAGGCACCATAGTTAAGCAACTTGTTACAGTCATATCACAAATAGGACAGGTTCCAATTTCCCAAATAATTCACTAACCCTGCCTACCCAGAATTGTTTATAGAGTTGCATAGATTAAAGACCCTGTGTCAACAGGGTAGAGTTAAAGTTTGGGAGGAATTCTCATCACCTCTACCCTAGGTCTGCCACATAAAAAGAACACCTTAAGGGAAGTGACATGGAAGTAAAAACACGTTTTTAATTCTGAGAAATTTGTATGGAGCTCTTTAAAATGAGTTTTGGGTCGCGGCTGCTGAAATGAAAGCCAAGGTAACTGTGGCATACGCCTTTTTGTACCTTCACTCCACAATGCCGAGTTCACAATGAAGTCAGAGCGTTCTGACATCTCTACCATGTTGTCACAGGCCACGCACATTCGTCTGAACACACAGGTCCTGAAGACTCCTCTTTAGGAACAGAATCAAACGGAACCCTGGGGCTGCTCTGCTTGTCTATAGCATTCCCTGTGTCGCAGCCGCTGGCAGGTGTCCTCCAGACAAGAACAGCATGGGGGGCACCCAAATCTTTTCAGAGCAACCACGTTAACTCTGTACAAGGAACACCTTTCTTGAACTACAACACAACTTTCTAAGAGGTATATCCACACCTCTGAACATCTACCAAAATCCAGAATAAAATGCACAACAGAACAAGCTCATGAAAGTTTACAGAACTTAAATATTTATTTTTAAACCATTTAAAACCCCCCCAAACATTGAAATAAGCTTCATCTATAAACAGATTTACAAGACTAACAACTACAGAAGCTAGAGGAGCACTACAATTTGTTTCTGTGATGCAGTTATTTTGTAAAGCTTCAGATCAACTGTATTTACAACTTTTGCTGCTTTTACATTTATAAAAATATTTATTTAATCCATAACATTATTGTTTTCAAAAACTATTTCCAGACTTTTTTCTCAGATATAAATTCTAATTGAATTTCAGTTATATAGCAGATGAAAGTTTTAAACAGAAACATTTTTTTAAAATTAAAACAAGGAGCTAAAAGTAATTTTTTACAGTGTAGGCACCATTGAAAATAATTGTCCTTGGCATATCTAACCACCATCTCTCACAAGTGTCCTTTATATAAAAACGATGTAATGGCAACATTTGACTAAAAATGCAGTATTTACTTGCACACCATTACTTTTTCAATATTTGGCAGATATATTTCAGATTCTTTAAAATGACTTTTGTGCAAAAACAAAATGTGCAGGTCTGAACCATAAAATAAACACACCCAGCCATTATCAAAAATAAATTTACACCAACAGTTCCACAGCTAAGTACTGAAAAACAATCCCAGTTCAAAACTTCAGCATAATATACATACTGGGTTGAAAAAGGGAAAAAAAACAGAAGAGATTACCCATCTAGCAGTACCATAAATATATAACTGAAAGCAACTTTATAGTCTTACCTACTTTTTATGGAAAAAAAAAAAAAAATCACTCCGTACTGCACAGTACTACCTTTTTTTGTGAAAGAATATCTATAACTCAGTTATTTGCATATTAACTGGTAAATACATATTTAAAATACACTTTCAGAAAATTATAAACAAATTATGTTGATGTACTGTATTTAATGTATTTAAGAACAAAAGTGTGTATAAATATCTTACAGGAGAAACAACACCACCACACAGAATGCTGGTGTTACGCTTATACCTGCTTGTGAGGTATGTATCATGCGACGCTCGGCTTCGCTGGCTCCCTTCCACCCAGGCATGTATACTCAGAGGAAAAAAAATTAAATTAAGTTAAACTGGACTTCAGGTTTTGTCCATTATTGCCAAAAGCCCCACCCCCTCAACTGTATTGCTTTAAATTTTCCTACCATGATGATATAAGATTGAATTACTACTTCAAAACCTGTTCTAAAAGGTAATACATATACTGTACATCAGGATATACCTGTTGCTACATATCACCTGCAAACTATTGACATATTGCTCTCAAATATATTTAATCATAGAGCTGCCTAAAATACTGTACCAATTTAGAATTATAATAGATACTGTTGCAGGTTTATTTTTCCGGGCATGATAACTATATGCTGGTTGAAGCAGGTGCTACAGCAATACCCTTGCCACTACATTACATGTTTTTAGTATGCTTGTGAAAAAGCTATTTTCTCTGAAGCTTGTTAGTGATTTACAAAAGTTTAACTCATGAATACAAAAGACCTGTACATCCCCATGTACAGGAACAAAATAGCATCAAAACGTACTGTACTTGCACTTTCTATTAACTAAAGTAATGGTTATTTCTAAAAGCAAAACTGCACCTCAACATTTATCAGATTAAACAGGTGAAACTACAATATTAAAAGTTGTTCTTTACAAAATAATTTCCTGAAAATATAAAACCATGTGCACTGCCACAAAATACTTGAGTAGGTTCTTTCAAATCCTCAATCACCATCAATATGTTGCAAAGATCCAAAAGGCACAAGGAGCTCATGAGCTAAGCACTGCCAAGCTTGAAGTAGTTTTGGTGGGTTTCACTGGGTCCATACAAAACAGCAGTCAATTTTGTGAAGTTTCTTAGGATGAGTCATTAACAGAAAATCTACAGAAAAAAAAAAGCAATCAATAATTTTGTTAATGATACTGTTTTAGTTTGGCAAACAGCTCATAACTTTTTTTCCATCACTGAACCAGTAGATGTCTTCATGTCGACAGATTAGAGGAAAAAAACACCAGAAGTGACATCAAGAAAATATTGCCTAAAAAGATCTGTCTCCCTTACTTGCTATAAATATGCTTACAACAAAAATGCAGGGTAAACTAAAGGAAGCAAAGTATAACTACAGTAAAATTGCAGCACTAGAAGAACAAACAGATATACTAATTGTTACTATTAGTTTTAGTCTCAAAACAGAAGTGTTACGTGTAACTACAGTAGCTGAAAGTGTAAAGCCTCAGACATAGCAGATCTTTCTCCAATCACTAAACTACTCAAATTTCCCCAACATACAAAGTTCAGTGTCAACTAATCTCTTCTGTGCATAAGTACTTTTTTTTTTTTTTTTTTTTTTGCAATACATACAACAAATTGCTTAACTTACTTCTGAAATTTCTCCATAAGTTTCTTCACCATCTTATCTGTGATCCCTGGACATGTTGCTTCTGCCATATTGATGCTTTTCTCAAGTTCCTCAATTGCTTTCTTCCTGCTAGCATTATTTGTGTCCTGCTGTTTGAGCTGAGTAGCAAACCAAAACAGATAAATCTTACAAAAAGTTATCAGACACTTGGGTGTCTACTGCAAAGAAGTTTAAGTCAAGACTTACCTCAGCAAACACAGGGGTGATTATCATAGTCAAACAACTCAGGGTTTTAACAAGATCCTGATCCTAAAAGTTAACAAATAAAGATTACGTTACCATTTTCCTATACAATGTATACACTGCATTTAATGCAGCACACATGATTTTGAAAGTTCAGTTAAATTCAATGAAGCGCTTGAAATTATAAAAACAACAGAGGCACAATACATCAGCAAACATTACGTGATGTGGAAACAGATGCCCTATGACACATATGAAACGTCATCTATTGTCAGAAAAACAGTTAAGTTTTTCCTCTCTAACGTTACATGAGTCTTTAAAATTCACACCTCTGTGAACAGACGCTGATCTATCAGTATGCGTTACCTTTGCATTTTAGGCTGACATGGGCATAGGAAACATCCCTAACAAGCATCATTTCTTGAACTACAAAAAGATAGTCAGTCCTTACGAAAAGTGAATAATTACTAAGTTTTATCACTATCTTCTTTAAACTGGCTCAAAAAAAAAAAAAAAACAAACAAACAAACAAAAAAAACCCAAAAAAACCCACAAAACACCAAACCAAAAACCACCACTTAGAAAGAACTCTTCAGGCTGTACATACTGTCCCATTCTGCAGCTTCTTTGCATCTGGCTTCTTTCGAACTGTAGTAAAGCTCCACTCAGGATGAGAATTATTTTCTTTGTTACTGGACTCCCTGAAGAAAAAAAGATACAATGTACGCAATATTAGCCACAACATAAAGCCAAGAAAGCATAGGTAACCCAAATACATCATAGATGGATAAACAGATTAGTTCCATATTCCTTAAAGTAAGAAGAAAAACATGGATTGAAACATTAACTGAACTTTAAACAAAAAAACAGCTGCAGAGGCTGAATAAACTGAAATATGATCAAAGCAAACGGAAGATATTATCTACCCATAAAGCTTATCTTCTCCCATGGCATCCCATTTAAAACAGGTATCTGATATCCAGAAAAGCAAGAGACTTACAGAATGTATGTTGTTCCACAGATATTGTGCAAATTTCTTCATACACCTCAACCTTGCTCTGCAATATTGCTAATTGTGATTCATTGTTTTTGGTATAACCACTAGCCTCAGACTAGGAAATACCTAACACTTAAACAGAATTGAAACTGAGTTCGGAGAGAAAAAGTTTAAAGAGATAATGAGCGCATAGCTTGACTTATGCATTAGTCTTTAGGTTCATACAAGGGGTTTTCTTGAAAGAAGCCCATGAAAAACAGATGAAACAAACAGATGTACAGGAGATGAGTTAATTACACAGAGAAACTGCAACAAACCTACTTTAGTAACATTATTAAAAAGCCCAAAAGAGACTAAACTGAAAATAAACTTACGAATCGGAACCATCAGAATCACTTTCATCACTACTATGTCCCTCTGCTTTCCATCTCTTAAACCTATCAATCAGTTCCGTCAGATACGAAGTCTTCTTGGCATTTTTCATAATGAATTTGTGCTTCAGAAGTTCTTTTGCAGTAGGGCGCTGGAAGAAACACTTAAATATTTAATGTTATACTAACATTTCATGATTTTAAATGTTAATAGGGGAGATTTAGTAAGATACCTGACTTCTAGAGCTAACTCGTACAGTACCAGGAAGTTAGTGAAACAGGAAGTCAAGAAAAGCCAGTAGTCCACATTTACAAGTACTCTAAAAATATGATCAAGCCGCACACAGACTATACTGCTTATCCTTCTGTGCTAGAAGGTACACACCCAGGAAAATGACTAATCAAAATTCTCCAGTGCAACATTTCCTTGTAAGCAGAATTCAGACAGACAGCAAAAGTTGTGCTGGAGAAAAAGATTTAAGGATTCTCTCCTCTGTTAAAGCTTCTCTTCTGACATTATCCTAGGTTTGAGTGCATTTTAGCATGCTGCTTCTGTCACCCACGTCTTTCAGCTTTCCCCCTCCCCCTTTCAGTACTCTAAACAAAACAGATGAGGATGGAGACATAGCTATTAAAAACACCATTAGTATTAATAGCTGAAAGTGTACTCTCTAAAATGATTTCAGTTATGATGCACTACGCCAGTAAAATGCTTAGCAAACGTGAGAGTGAAGACAAAACCAAAACATCTACACACACACACATCTACTCACAAATGTTGGGTCCTTATTCAGACATGCATCAATAAATTCTTTAAAAGGTTTGCTGAATTCTCCTAATAAAGTTGGAGGATTGTTTTTCGGAATGAGAAACAGAACTCTCATCGGATGCATATCAGAGTTGGGAGGCTCCCCTTTGGCTAGTTCAATAGCCGTGATGCCCAATGACCAGATGTCAGCCTGAGAAAGGGAAAAGTTACATTTAGTACAAAATTAAGGGTTATCGTGACTAAGCATTTAATAACTGAAATCTTCACATATACCACATCTAGATAATAAAATTAATTTTGGTCTAAGTAGACAATGCACAAAGATTCCTTTCTAATACTTGAAGGCTACAATTCCCAAAGACCTGGCTGACTTAACCAGTCTTTAATGACAAACATCTACATCACTTTTGTTGCACATTGTCACTCTTGTAACACTGTGAGCAAGTGAAATGTGCAACTCAATACACATGCTTTTGGAGAAAGCTTCAGAAACATTAATCTTCCTTTAATTTTTTTCTATATAAGGAAGTACCAACAAATTTCCTATGTCTAATTCAGATTTTGTTTAGATAGCTAAACTACATGCTGATGTTACTTTTTAAACTGTAGATGCACGGAGGTATCCAACCTTGCTCGACACCTTGCTTTAAAGGAACAAGGCAGAGAGCTGAATCGCCAGCAGGTGATCACTTAATTTCTTTCCTAACAGCCTGCTTGATGAATTCAGCCAGAAAGTTATCAACAAATAGTTAGACTCGAAACACCAAGGTCACAGTGCAAGTTTCTGGTATTTAATTTAGCTAAAGGCAAGCATTATAAACAAATGCTGTCTTTGTATCAAAATATCTTATGAACTAGAAAATTCTTTTCCGACTTAAGAGATTTTTCCCAAGAGAAATACATATTGCTTGCATCTTTTTAGATAAGCTACAATAGCTACTAAGGTCACTAAAGGTGTTTCTCATTAAAAAGTGCCTGGCAATGGTTGATTACACTTGGCACAGAAGTCATAAACCAAAGTTGCCCATAGAGTAAACAAGGGTTACAATTTGCATCTCTCCAATATTCCTTTCCTATTCACAATAACTAAAATACCTGTATTTATTTAATATTGAAGAAATAAACTAGCTCATTATTTACTACTGAAATATCATAATCAACAACTATATATTGGAATAAAAACATTTTGAAAGAAGAGATGGGACTTGTAAATCTCTGCCACTACAAAAATGTATGAACTTCTCATTTTTTTTTTTTTTTCCCGTTGCTTTGAAGTAGGGAGAGAAAGAGAGAGGTTAAAATTCAGTCCAGATGCTAAAATGTTAATCAGTATTAGTTTAGAAACTGAAGTGTATCCTGTCCAAACCCCTTCATCTGTCCTACCAAAGGCTTGCATCTTCTGTGCTTTCCCACCAGACTTCTGGCATAGAAAGAAAAGGGAGAGGGTATTGCTCTTGCAACATACTGTGGAGATGCGGAAAGCAAACAGATTAGGGTGCTGGTAAAGTGTAAATGAAGGGGTGGTACAGCTGATTTATACACAGGGCAAGCAGAAGAGGAATTATTCTCACTTTGAGTGGACAACAACGTATTTTTAAAGTGGGATAGTGTGTTTTTCCAAAATGCCCTAGGGAGCACATTACAGTTCCACCACTGAAACCCTAAACATGAGAACTACAACATACTCCTTCTAATCAGCAAGAACCCTTGTGACATGTACACAGATTCCTTCAAGTCTGAATAATCCTGGGAAAGTGTCCTGGAATGTGAGTATCTTCAGAACATCTCAGACATTCAACACATTCAACAGTCTTTTCTTTATGTGCACGTTACATGTTTATTATTTGAGAAAAAACAGTATGAAAGTATTACTTTCCATATACCAAAGGTTTCAGATTTCTTGCTATTTAGGATTGCATCTAAAGAGTGTAGAAAGTCTAATGCCAGCACTGAAATACACTGCCATTTTAGTAACCATATGGTCTGGGTTGTTTTGGGGGTATACACATGGGAGAAGAGGGGACCACTACCTCCTTATCGTCAATTCTAGCAGCAGTTCCCAACCCTCAGAAAAACATGGAGGAGGTCTGCTTTTCTCCTGCTGGTTCACATAGCGAAACTCTCCTTCACAGCTACGCATCCATCAACAGCTCACATGACAAAGAAATGTACAAGGTACCATAATGCTACCACAGCTACCCATCCTGTACTTCAGGTTATTTTTTTCCTTTTCAAGATCAGTCACACGTGCTAAAATTGTCAGCATTACACAAGTCCTCAGAAATACCATTAAAGAAATTATATCAAGAGCTCTTTATAAAAATCTGAGAAGAGAATAAAATTTCAGCCACCATCCTGGCTTTAAAGAAGCTGGTCAGTTCTGGTGTCATTCTAATTTGTTACTGTTTGAATTAAATGTGAAACATTGAATTGAATTAGAAACCAACCAACCAATCTACAACACTGAAAGCATCCAGGGAGTTTCTCTGAAAGCATCCATTACTTGGTGAACTTGCATGGGTCTTGCATGTGAGTACAGTGACACGTAACTACTGTATAAAAATTTAATTGTACTTTTAATTGTGTTACTTCATAGAATCATAGACTATCTCAAGTTGGAAGGGACCCATAAGGGTCATCAGGTCCAACTCCCAGCTCCTCGCAGGACTACCTAAAACTAAACCATATGACTAAGAGCATCATCCAGACACTCCTTGAACTCTGACAGGCTTGGTGCTGTGACCATTTCCCTGGGGAGCCTGTTCCAGTGACCAACCACCCTCTCAGTGAAGAACCTTTTCCTAATGTCCAATATGAACTTCCCCTGATGCAGCTTCATTCCATTTTCTCGTGTCCTATTGCTGGTCACCAGAGAGAGGAGACCAACACCTTCCCCTCTGCTGCCCACCTTGAGGAAGTTGTAGACTGCCATGAGGTCACCCCTCAGCCTTCTCTTCTCCGAACTGAACAAACCAAGTGACCTCAGCTGCTCTGCTGCACTCCGCTCACAGGGTTACTTGAGGACCTGATAATTTGAAATCTACTTTTTTTTCCTCCATACTGATAGAGCTAAAACCACAAAAATCAAAGTAATTTCTGTTGGATCTGCAGATACAAAAAAGAGGTATTCTACTCTCATACTTACTTTTGAATCATATGCTGACTGCTGAATAACTTCAGGGGCCATCCAAAATGGAGTTCCAACAAAGGTATTCCTCTTAATTTGTGTGTCTGTCAGCTGCCCAGCAACTCCAAAATCAGCAAGCTTAACATCACCTTGTTCTGATAACAAGACATTGGCAGCTGCCAAGGTGAAACAACATAATAGCTAAATTAGAATACTGCTTTTACGGTTCTTAAAGGCTTTAACAAAGTAACATTTAAAACGTTAAGCACCTTTTATATCCCTGTGAATTTTCTTCTCTGAGTGTAGGTAGTCAAGACCTTTCAAGATTTCCTTTAGCATGGTAGCAATCTGGAACTCATCAAATGGGCCAGCACGCAGCTTTAGAGAAAAGACACGTTAAAGGAATTTTAGTCTTGTATCTAATTTTTGCCTTCTTATTGATTTCATTAAATCTTAAATTTGAAAGATTTTTTAAAGGAAAGAATGAAAATAATTCATGAAACATTAAATGAAGTCAACATTCTATCAGAAATTGGTGCCATCGGAATGATCATCTTCACATCTCCTCTACTGGTAAGCCATTGAAAATGCTGTCACTTTTCTAACATATACAGTAGGCACCCCCCTCAGCATGCAATGAAAAATGAAAAGCTAGAGCTAACTTTCCACAAAGGTTAAGTTTCCTATAGACAGCAAACTCAACAGACTGAATTTTGCATTTTAGATTAAGCGAATTAAGAAACTCAGTTCATTTCAAAATAAATTCGTCTATTGACTGTGGTTTGTAAATTTAATGATGCATTTTTTTCTTGTTCCAGCATTTTTGATTCCATGATTGCTTTTGCATGAAGAACATAATGCACTACTATAAAGCTGCTAGCATGGAATAAATGTAAGCTTTGCACATTAGGAAGCTATGTAAATAAAAGCAATTAAGGTGAGTAATTCTGCTGTAAAAAAAAAAAAATATCAACAACACTGAAACAGAGACCACCATGAAAGTTATGGTACGGCAAAGCGAAGCAAATGAGGGTAAACTTAAAGTTTTATTCTTCTAAAGGTTCAGTGGTTTCAATTGTCACTAGTAAAAGCTATTTCACAATTTCTGACACTCCATGGAAAACTATGAATTACTCAAAAGTGTTAAAGAGCAGTATCGCACAGCCCCTTTCTCAAAAAGACTAAGTTCGAGACCTACAAACTACGACATGCTACGCATAATTACTATGCTTTTGCATTCCCGTAGCTGAGTTGATGTGATGTAAATTCATAAAGAAGTTTAAATAGACTTGCGAAGTTAAGCACATACTTCAACTCTAGTAGACAGGACCAGTGTTAGCAAATATATAATTAACACCATTCTGTAACACTGAAGACGTGATATTTTTCCTTCAGCATCACACAAACAAAGACTGAGTTATATTATCTTACAGGAAAGGGTGGGTCTCTAAGCTTTACAGCTGAGGCAGAGCCGTACTGAAAATACGGGGAAACCACATTCACATACAGTGGACTGTGCTCTTGTACTCTCTGAGCTACATCCTTCATGAATGCTACACTATCTTAATAAAAGGCACTTTCATACTGAACTGAAAATACCTGAAAATGGAAAACCCAACACCTTTTAACCAGTTAAAATTAACTGTACTCTGTGAGCACACACTCCATTCATTCCTGAGACCCAATCCCAAAGGAAACATTATGTATTCAAGTGTAATGAATATTCTACTTGGGAGAGGAGACGGGGGATGGACAGACAACCCAAAACCCCCCACATATGGCAAGAACAGTACTTCTCCTCATACTAAAAATACCTGCTTTACATTAACCAAGAACAAATGCATGCTTCCTAACGCTTAGAGACAATAAAAACAAACAAACAAAAAAATCAATATCAATTCAATACAACAGAACTACCATTCAAATTAACACTTTTTGGGGCATTACAATGTAGCAGTGATGTAATGTCAGCTGCCTCCAGGGACTAGACTTTAGACAAAGAGATATCAAAACACAATGAAGGAAGGTTCACTAGTACTGATAATGCAGAGAAGTCATATACTTACAAGATCCAAAGCTGACCCTCCACCCAAGTATTCCATTATTATCCATAGTTTTGTGCCCTGTAAAGGAAGGCATGAGTTGTTAGAAATCCAAGGCTGCCATTAAAAAAAAATAAAATAAATATATATTTCAACAGACTAAAAGCATACTGTTAGGAGAATGTAAATGCAGAGTCCTATTAATCACCAAGTTACATGTAATTACTTCTTGTAGAATGATCACACAGCTCCTGTACAAGATGTCTAAATAGCAACTGAAGTTTGACTTCTGTATTTAAAAAAGCAACACTCCCCCTCCCCCCACCACTAATCATTTTCTGCTAACTGGTATCTAAATTTATTCCACCTAAAGAAATGGAACTTAGAGAAAAAGAGTTTCAGTTTAGACCAAGCGTTTTAACGTAGATTGTAGTTCTTACAAAAGACTGTCTTTGCATTACAATTATTAATTCCAGCTATTTGTAATACAGAAGCAGTATAATTTTAATACAAAACTTTCTTGTAACATCACTACACCTCTCATCTGAGGACAATACTCAAAACTTAAAAATACTTTTGAGGGAGAGAGTGAGCATGAACACACCTCAAACACAACAGAAATCCAAAGACTAATGAAGGTAACTGCTAGGTGCCTCTTCACCTACGTGGTAACTGGGCAAGTGTATATCAAACGTGTTCATAAACTCCAACTTCAGTTGTCATATCCAGCAAAAAGTGAGAATTGACAGCCCTTGAGTATGCCCATACCAAAGGATTTACATTCTAACACAAAAAAATACCTGCTACCATAGAGGGAGCTCTGATTTTGAGATACAAAGCAGCACTACACCCACTAGCCCAGAGAAATTGTACTGTCAAACCTGGAACCCTACAAAAACATTCAGGTTTCCAAACTTTTCAGACCAGAGGTTCGAAAAAGGTCAGAGATAAGAACAATATAATTCAACGAGAAGTATGACTCAAGGCTCCTATCTTAGGAAATCTGTTTTAATTATTTACAGTAATATTGCAAAGTGCATGTATTGCTTCACTATATGCTATTTGAATCTCAGTCCCTGTGAGTATGTGAGTAGAGTACTTTGTGGAGATATCTCAACTATCAGAATACTAGAACTGACAAATCCTTCTAAAACTGATTTCTAGATGCTGACTTTACCCTTGGTATGTAGCTGCAAAGGGTGACTGGTTCATACAAACAAAGCTGGCAAGATTTGGTATCAGATGTACAGACTGTATGTTTCAAAAGGGGGATCTTCTGCTATTTGCTTGACAGAGTCCCCTCACATTTCAGAAGAAACCCAAATATTAACCTATGGGCTTCTACCCTAAGAAATTCTGTGAATAAAAGCATTTATTTAAATTAAAAAACAATTATTAAAAATACTCAACTGAACCAGACCTGGTGAAGTACCACATAAGCTGTTTAAGTCTCCAGTAAATATTTGCTAGTAGTAGTTCCTTCTAATAGAGCGTAAGCTTATGGCAGAAGTACTTTTTAAAGCCTCTTGCATTCTACAATGTATGCTTTCCCACCCTATGGCCTGACTAGTGAAAGAAACCTAAAAGAAAACTCTACAAGCAAATATAGGTGCAATTTCTGGAAGTACCACATCCAATTATCTTAACAAAGTGTGCTCTATTAGATTTATACTGAATTTTAAAAACATACCATTTATGAGAGTCTATTCCAATATTATGAGATCAGCAGGGAAGGGCTGGATAATTTTAGCAGTTTTTATAAAGTCCAACTTTGTCAGCTGAGAAGACCTGCAAGGAACTCCAGCTTAAGGCAAACATTGTGGTTACCAGACATGTTTGAAGGATTTGACTACTACTTTAAAACAGTACGGGGGGGAAAATGAATAAGTACTGTGTTTCTGAAATAATGTCTCAAAGAAATTGCTACTATCCACTGTAACAGGGTGTGGATATTTTCTAGCCAGGCATGAACAACCTTTTTCCTAGCTATTTTAGGTCAACCAAGTATAAATAGACAATGTAGAACAAACAGTATCTTTGGATTGTCTCAAAGCTTTGCTGCACAAAGTGCTGTACAATTTTGATGGAAGCCTCTAGATGATAATATAGGAGTTCTCCATATTCAAAGCTGAAAAACTGAGAATAACTTCAGGCTTGCTGTAATTGCAAAAGAGAAGAGCAAGCCCAGGTGGCTGTAATAATTACATGGATAAATATTTAAACCCCTTGGCTAGATGGCACAAATCAGGAACACAATAATGAAATTTCAGTCATAAAGACCTATCTCTATGGGATCACATGGAAAGTACAGCTCAAGTGTTTTATCAAGCTTCACAAATTTGCATAACCAAAACACACCAGAACTAGGGTAACCTTTAATACCTTTAATCTTTTTCTTGCCCGAACTGATAAGATAGTAATAGATTTTGACAAGCCAGTAGGCTTGAGGAAAACTCATTTTAGCTAACATAACTTACACCGCTGCATTGCTATGTACTATCACTTTCAAGCGTACCCTCCACAACCAGTGTTACTGAGGTGTGACGTTAATTGCAATCCAAGTGCCATACTGGGTGATGAGACAAATTTAGATCCTAACCTACCACAAATATGAACATCTACAGACATGTGCATCAGGATTTTCATTATCTTACAGCTACAAGAGTTCCAATAATTCAGCTGTTAAGCTTGCACAATTATACACACATTTGTGAAAGACACCATATCAAGGTAAAACATTTTACTACCTTACACAAACGTGTTTATTAAGGTGCATTCTTTGACTATATATATGCTTTTACATCACCTACTAATATGTTTAGAAAATTCATCTTGCCAGATACCCAATGAAAATTTAAGAGAAAAAATTACTAATACCTAAGCTCTAAGACTAATTCAGTGGGAAACTCCCATTCAAAGTCCACAATTCGAGATATACAGGTACTTCAAATTACAAAGACATGGGTGTTTTGCACCTTTTTGTGTCACAATAACTGAAAACTGGCATCAGCTTTACCCCAAGAACCTCAAGGGTGTAGACTTTGCCATCTTGTATCAATAATAAGGTTTTTGAAGAGTAAAATCTCTGATAACAGACAACTAACATTGCACTGCTAGGTAAAAATAGTATGGGACTGTCCGTATTTTTAAAATCACATCTACAAGTCAGATGTATAGCTGTACCTAATGAGCAGCCAGGCTGGAGAATGTAAGAGTATCTTACATGGCATCAGCTGAGCTGACTAAGTTACAAATTAGCAAGTCAAGTAATTGAAATAAAGACACTCTTCCCTTCCCCCTTTCAGCAGCAGGGGCATCTGGAAGAGCCGGCAGTAGCTGGTAAGCCCCAGGCCCCCTGAGTCTGTGCCCCTCCATCCCAACCAGCCACAAGGCTGCCTTTGCATCCTGAAGTGTGAGGAAACTAAAGATGCAGAATACATAGAGCAGAGAGTGCAAAAATAAAATCCCTCATCTAAAATGCCTGCAACTAGGAAACCCTCACAGTTAACATCTCTTCTTTCACATTTTAGTCACAAACAACTTTTGATTATCAAATATGCTCTCTTACTTGAGGAAAAACAGAAACTGGCTAAAAATTGATGATGAGAACGATCTGCTTCTTGAAAGCTGACTTAAAATGGGTTAAAAAAAAAAACAGTAAGTTACAGCAGAAAATGTTCTATTACAGTTCAATTGGATGAACTGATGCACACCATGAGAAACCTGAACTCAACACATGGTCTCACCTGTAGTTTCTTCAAAGTAAAAACTATCAAATTTAAAGATTTACACCAGATCTAGATTACTCAACTAAGAAATATCAGTAAGTGGTATCAGCAATCTGAATGCCTTTGCACTGAGGGTTTGCTTTGGTACAGTCAGGAAAATACTAAGTCTCTTTGATTTAAACAGTCCAAAACTCAAAAACATTTCTAATGCCATTCCTAGAGCTTCAGCGAAAGCTACATGTATGATTAACATATTTTAGTAAACTATTTCTATTCCATAAACATTAGCTGAAGGAGGACAGACTGGCTCACCTGTTTTGTTTTCCTGTAAATAAAGATAAAAAGGGGAAAAAAAAAAACCAAGCCTCCTAGGTTTTGAAATACCTTCTATTTACTGTATGTTTATGCTCTTTTCAACCACTGCCTTAAAAGATATTTCTATTAATATTTTCAGGGATCTTTATATAGAAAACTAAGTATCCACCAACCAACATATGGGACCACTTTGAATGTGATCTTCGTACCAGTCATATCCACAGCAAACCGCTATTAATCTCAGCAGTTTAGGATTTTGCTTTGTAAGAAATAAGATGTCTTAATTTTCAGAATTTAGGCTCAATGTTCTTTAACCTTTAATTATAAAGTCATTTGGTACAGAACTGTACCTACTTCACTGTTTCCAAGAGACGTCTATAGCATATAGAGAAATTAAAACATGAACGAAGTACTATACAGCTAAATACGTAGGCTGACAGTCATTCCCAGAGTTAACAGCTAATAAAAAGCTAAAAGCTATAACAATTAAGTAAAAAAAAGTAGATAAAACTCTCAAAATACCTGTTGTTACTAAAATGAAAAGGCAGCATAAAAGATTCTTTGCACATTTAACAAAGCTAATACACTCTCTCCCCTGAGGAATCTCAAGCCGAAAGATCTAGTATTAGTAACCAAGGATAAATCTAGACTAAGAAAATTTTAGAGCCAAGATACTACTTAAACAGTCGTTTTATTTATCTATTTTTAATTACAGAGCTAAAGGTATTCATTTATTTGTAGGCATTTTTATTCATTTACTTGGGAAACAGCAAGCAGTAGAAGTACCTATCATGCTAGTCTGGGACAAAAAACATCCCTGTGAACAATATTTCAGGGGTTTTTCGGGTGTTGTGTGTTTTTTTTGTTTGGTTGGTGGGGTTTTTTTGTTTGTTTGTTTTTAAAGAGGAATTTCCAAAAGGAATATGAAAGTAACCAAAATTCCACAAACACCTTCACAAGCTCTACACACAGAAATTTTCCTTCCCCAAAAATATTAGGAGTGTGAAAAGTAAACAGGAGATCAGCATTAATCTTTCAGAATTTATCCATTTAGAATAGAAATGGAAAGGACTCAAACAGTGGCAAGGAAAGTAGTGCAGCATTAACATGATCCTATATTTGCCAGGAATTTTTAAAAATTAAAAAAACCTAACCAGAAACTGAAAGTTTTATAGCACTGATAGAACTATATTTACATATCTAAGGAAAGGGGTAAAATGTGAACGACTTGCATAAAGAGGCCAAAGACAAACTGGTGTGAGGCACAGGTACTTAAGCAAAGTTGGAGTAACCTTTCTGCTTTCAGCACCTATGTTGCCATAAATAATGAAAAGACTAAGTCATAAATT